TCATTTGACTGAAGTATCACATTTTGCATCCATCTAATGAGGGCTGCAATCTACATTTGTCACATGCCAACGAGTGACTATCCTTCTTGGAGGAGATAAGCAGGGTCTCCTTGGGGCTGAGCTGATTCCAAAGTGGTTTCTGCATGTGTAAGACCTGGCTGCCCCCAAAAATCATATATTATTTAATGTTAAATAACAATATGAAGAGACTGATCCCAGAAACTCAAAAGAACAAAAATATGGAACAAAAACACCATTTGTTTCATAGTGCCCAATTCTTTAAACAATCCTTTCATAATTGACCATAACATATACTCTGCCCTATTGGTTAACCTACTTAGGCAAAATAAAGCAAATTTCTCTACTATACCTTCCCAATGTAATAATAATAATAATCATTGCATTTGATATAGCGCCTTATCACATCTTTGAGACGTCTGAAAGTGCTTCACAGAATATACTGGAAAGCGAATTGATTGTATATTTTGTGGGTGAAACACGGCAGCCAATTGCGCTCAGCAACGTCCCACAAACATTCGTGGATTTAGTGACCAAATTATTATTATTTATTTTATTTTATTTATTTTAAAAAGGAATTGTTACCCCAGAAAAGCAATCCATCATCTACTAACAACCGGGTTGTTACTTACTGTTAGGTAAATCAAGGTGTGTGGAGTAAAGAAACTTGCCCAACGTTTCGCCCTGCCGGGAATCAAACCCAGGTCTCTCGCTTGCGATGCGAGTGCTCTAACCACTGAGCTACAGGACTCCAATATATGGGTCAAAATTCCATCTGGATTACTCTCTGGTTGAAATAATGCAAAAGTAACAGGGAAAAAATTAATAATTTGTTAAAATACACTCCAAATTCTGTATGTTTTGGGCACATAAAACTATCGCATTATTGGCATCAACTCGGGTTCCACCCCTTTAATTTGATCTGAAGATTGCAGAGTTTCATTGCATCTGCAACATTTTATAAAAGAAGCACTCTTTCTCCACCTACGTCAGAAGAAAGTATAAATATAGCTGTTAGGATCTGCAATGGTACCACAGTGAATGGGTGATTGGAGAGGCAAAGAAAAATTGCAGTTGTTGTGAACATATCATTTGGGTTCAAGATGGGGATGGTATGTGGTAAATAAAGGTTCTGGGTCTATTTTTGGCGTTTATGAATTTATACAAAGGACATGATCTTGCTTTGCTTCAAAGACATCACCATTTCTGCATCTATAGGAATCATAGCAGTTATGATTACATTGTGGTGATGTCTCAGGAGTCACTGGATGGCAGGCAGCAAGACAGAGACTGGCACAAACTACAGCAGAAGATGATTGTGAAAGAAGCCACGTGGCAATACAGCCAACCTTCATGGTTCCCTTGTTCCCGAGGAAAGAAGGTATGAGCAACCTAAAAAGGTTCTGGAGGAGAAGGGCCTTGAAGGACATGACTGAGGAGAAACCTGCTTAATGACTGCGCTCAACAAAAAAATGCCATGAGGGACTTGCATGACTCAAATGCTGACAATTGTTGTAAATAATAATTAATAATAATAATAATTAATACATTTGAAAGGTATATACATTGCCAACAATGTGCCCGCCATCAGTGTGCTATCCCACAAGATTAGTTTTGATGAAGAAAGTTCTTTGGTCCATCTGATCTCATCCTACCAGAATGGAATAATAAAGGATATGTGGGATAAGCAGGAGAGTGAGATTAGATTGGGTGGTTCATGTGGAGAAATACCAGAGCGGACTTGATAATAATAATTATAATAATAATAATCCTTGCATTTGATATATAGCCTTTTCACATCTTCGAGACATCTCAAAGCGCTGCACAGAATATACTGTAAAGTAAATTGACTGTTTTGTGGGCAAAACACAGCAGCCAATTGCACATAGCAGTGTCCCACAAACAGTCATGGAATAAGTGACTATATTATTATTATTTATTTTTATATTTTAATACATTGAAACAATTTGGAATTCTTTTCATTTGTGTGCTTTTATAAGTTAGATATATTTGCCACACACATTGTTTTTGATGGGCCAAATGGGCAAATTCTGGCTGTAACATTCTCTCGTAAGCTTTCTTAACAGCAGTTTCATATTGAGTGGAAGCTTTCAGTAAATAGTTAATCATGGGATCCAAATGCTTTTTGTTTCACACATTTGCCCATGACCACTCCTCAATATATACACATGCTCATGTAACCTAGTCCAACGTATATAATCTTAGATGTTTACACATTCAAATCGATCTGCCTTGCCACTTAATTGGTCCAGATTTATGTCAATGTTTCTACAATGGAAACCAGCAGGCATTGAGTGACAAACTGATGCAATGGAAATAATAATAATAATAAATAATAATAATCCTTGCATTTGATATAGCGCTCTTCACGTCTTCTAGACGTCCCAAAGCGCTTCAAAGAATATACTGTAAAGTGAATTGACTGTATATTTGTGGGCGAACGTGGCAGCCAATTGCGCACAGCAGTGTCCCACAAACAGTCATGGATTGAAAATGACCAATTTATTATTGTTTTGTTTTTTGGAGGGATTATTATTAGGCGTGTGGAGTAAGGAAACTTGCCCAAGGTTTTGCCCTGCCTGGAATTGAACTCAGGTCTCTCACTTGCAAAGCGAGTGCTCTAACCACTGAGCTACAGGACTCATGGATAATTATGATGCATGGAACTTAGCCAACAATGTCAAATCCAACTTTGATTGAGGATATATCTTTATTTCCAAATCTGCCTCAGATTGCCATGGATCTATATCACTTTGCCAGGTGTGTGCCCTTGAAACCGGTTCAGCCTCAAAGAGACTCGACTTACCTTCCCCCATTCTCCTTTCTCCTAGCACCCCCACCAAGCCAACTATTATGTGAGCAGAAACTGATATTGTCTTTCCCACCTAGAATGGGAAGCATCAAATCTGAATTTATGCTATACAAGGGAATCTAGGAAAATGTATCTTAAATAAACCGTGATCTTTGATGGGTTTTAAAGACTGAAAGTTATCTTTTGGCAGATTTTTAAAAAATAGAATTATAGTACTATCTATAAAACACAAGGAGTGGAAAAATAACCTCACATTGCTTTCTAATCTTACTCAACAATGTTTTTTTGTTGAGAAAACGACTCTCCAGATGGCAAGCATGTTTTTGTAGGGCTGCATAGATATTTTGAAACTATTACAAAACAGAACAAGTTATCTTCATTTGTTGATGATTAATGTATAGTAGGATGAGACCAGCCAACTGTTAAAAGCTAACAATCCAATATTACATCTTTGAATCTATTTACCTGAGGCAAACTCAAATGTACTGTAAGAGCTGTGACCAGTCACAACTAACTGGGATATTCTAAACAAATTCTCAGGAGTTAATTTATCTTCAAAACCAACTACTACCAACATATTTATATTCTGCATCATTCGCCTCCTAACAGAATAGGATAAATGCTTAATTATAAGCTTTCATTTAATACTTTTCTTTGGGTCGTTGTGTGCAGACGGTGACTTATTTCAAGCATGAGAAATTCAATTATATTATCAGTACAGCAAATCAACAGCATGCCCCATATTGGAAATAACATCCACTTGCATGCAACAAAATGCTTCATAACCCCAAGAGAAATGTAACATGGAACCAATTTTATAACAGGGTTGTATAACAAGTTTTATAACAATCTTCAAGTGGCTCTGTGCTATATATAAGTATTTTGCAACATCCAGCATAAGAGAAAGTCAATTGTTAAGTGAATATTACATAAAACTACATTTTGAAACCTGAAAGGAAATTGTTATACTGATATAAAACTAACTACCTTAACTCCTAACTCTTAGTGAAGTATTCAAACCTAATATGCTTCACAACTCCTAAATGTCATATTGAAGAGATTTTTAATAATTTTCCTCAGCTGGTGGAAATGTAGAAATGTTTTACTGAATGTGCATGCGGTAAAATATCACAGTTGTTCATCCATTTATAACTAAAATTGTGCAGAACTCAAAGCAACTATGAAAATCAGGAACCAGATCTGAATCATATGATGCATGAGCACATGATTTGTACATACCATCTTCAGGAGGCAGGAATTTCCCAACATAGGGATCCAATAGTAATCTTAAAATAACTGCAAATCGGGAAATTAGCGCATATACCTTTGTGGCAGACTAATTTCACACAAAAAAGCTCCACTTGATAGAAACAGGTATTACAGCAATTTCTAGGGTTCTTTATATATCAGCATAGAACTTTGAAACATCTGAAGTTTCAACTCAACAGTTTCGCCAACTCAACTCGATCAATGACTTATCGCACAAATTCTTAGAGTTTAATCCCTCACTTAATCTTTTGTATTGAAGGTGATGGATTGATAGCCAGCAATGAACATCTGGGGAATCCAGATGTTATAACAGTTTTATAACCTGGATAGTTATATTACAGAAGTAACTTTACTTGCATCTGTCTCTCACAGATCAATTATTGGGTTTAGTGTATGGGTGATGGAGTCGGCTGTGTAGCGTTATTCTAGAATGGTAACAATCGAGCGCAATAATAATAATATTAATAATAATAACAATCCTTGCATTTGATATAACGCCTTATCGCGTCATTGAAACGTCTCAAAGCGCTTCCCAGAATATATTGTAAAGTGAATTGACCGTATATTTTGCGGGCAAAGCGCAAGTGACGCACCGCAACTAACTCCCAACCAACTAACATCAGGGCACTGAATGTAGGTCAGTCCTGTAAGACGTGGTCGCAAATGCTCACTGATGGCATTTTTATCCCCACAAACACTCAAATTAAGCACAGCAGATGTGGGCAGATGACTCAACTGTGACACACACACACACACAGTGAATGCAAAGTTGCACAACAGCCCGCATTGCCCCTCCGGGACTCACTGCCTTTCCCCCTCTCTCTGTTTTTGTTTCACTTGGAACTTCAAAGTGCAACGGGAAGAAGGGAACCTTTCTCACCCGCTATATCCCACAGCTGCAGCCTCACCACCGTCTCCGAGTCCCAGTTCAGGACTTTGAGTGCGAAATCCACACCGATAGTCGCTCGGTAATGTTGGGAAAAGTTCTGATGCACGTAACGCTTGATGATGCTGGTCTTCCCCACACCCAGGTCGCCGATCACTAAGATTTTGTAGAGGTGCTCGGTCTGACTTTTCTGCATTTTCGAAGTTTCAGGCTCATAACCCGTGGCCGACTGTCCTCCTCTGGCAAAGTCAGGTCCAGCAACTTCAGTGAAAGAGCAACGCCCTCAACGCTCCCACTAACGTGGGAATGCCTCCAGCTCTCCAACCAGCAGCTCTGCAACTTCAGCAGCACTTCTCCAGCATCGCCCAACCCCCCCTTTTCCCCCCCTCACCCCCCCTTTCCCCCCCACCCCCTGTCAACTGGGTGTGGATGTGCCAGCGATGCCACGGGATAAAGTGGAACTAACGGGTTTAAGCTGGAAGGGATGGTATTTTTTTTCTCTCCTGTTCAGTTCTAGTATTATTCGCAGAAGGGAAGGGAATTTCTTCCCCGGGCCCTCCCGAGCCGACAACCTGCCGGATAATAATAATAATCCTTGCATTTGATGTAGCGCTTTCCACGTCTTCCGGACGTCTCAAAGCGCTTCGCGGAATACGACGACAACGGGATTACATTTGTATCGCGCCTTTCACGTCGGGAGGACGTCCCAAGGCGCTGGGCAGTGTACAGCATTTCAGACCCGAGCTGAGTTCGGGTGGGGGGAGAAGGGCGGGGAGGGGAATGGGGGTGACCGATGGCATGGTCGAAGAGGAGGGTTTTGAGAAGGGACTTGAAGGAGGCTAAGGAGGGGGCGAGGCGGAGTGATTGGGGGATGGAGTTCCAGAGGTTGGGGGCAGAGGAGCTGACGACTCTTCCACCAATGGTGGGGTGGATGGGTCGGGGGACGTGGAGCAGGCCAGAGCCGGCTGAGTGGAGGGAACGGGCGGGTTGGTAGGGGGTTAGGAGGTCGCAGAGGTAGGGTGGGGCGAGGCCATGGAGGATTTTGTGTGTGAGGACCAGGATCTTGAACTGGATCCTCTGAAGGATAGGGAGCCAATGGAGTTGGGCGAGAATGCGGGAGATGGGGTCACAACAACAACAACAACAACAAGATTCCATTTATATTCCATTTATAAACACGGAGTTTGGTGTGGGAGAGGACACGGGCTGCAGAGTTCTGGATTATCTGCAGCCTGTGGAGGGAGGAGTTGGGAAGACCGACAAGCAGGGCGTTTGCATAGTCAAGCCTGGAGGTGATGAAGGCGTGAACAAGAGTTTCAGCGGCCTGAGGGGTGAGGAAGTGGCGGAGTCGGGCGATGTTACGGAAGTGAGGGAAGGCAGAGCGGGTCTTGGCTTGGATGTGGGGAAGCAAAGCCAGTTGAGGGTCGAACAAGACACCTACGTTCCTGACTGGTGAGTTGTAGTGTGCAACCATGGAGGTTGATGCTGCCAGAGCCTGAGGTGCTGAGGCGCTGGCGCGAGCCAATCAGGAGGGCCTCAGTTTTGTTCACATTTAACTGTAGGAAGTTTGCCCTCATCCAGAACTTGATGTCCGACAGGCAGTCTGTCAGGACAGCAGTGGTCCTGGAGTTGAGGGTGGAGGCAGAAAGATAGAGTTGGGTGTCATCCGCATACATGTGGAAGTTGACCCTATGTCTGCGATTGATATCACCAAGCATGTGAATATTAAAGAGGAGAGGGCCAAAGACAGAGCCCTGGGGGATGCCAGACATGACAGTGCGGGGCTGTAGGAGAAACCATTAGAGGCAACAAAGTGGAGACGGTGAGAGAAATAGGAATCGAACCAGGCAAGGGCAGGTCCGTGAAGATTAAGTAAGGAGGAGAGGCAGTGTATGAGGATGGAGTGGTCGACAGTGTCGAAGGCGACAGAGAGGTCGAGGAGGACAAGGAGGCAGAGGGAGCCCTGATCACAGATGTTCAGATTGTCATCAGTGACTTTGACCGGGGCTGTTTCCGTGCTATGGGCAGTGCAGAAGCTGGACTGGAGGGATTCAAAGAGGGAATGGCAAGAGAGAAAGGAGCGGAGCTGGGACGTGACGACTCGTTCCAGGACCTTGAAGAGGAATGGGAGGTTAGAAATGGGGCAGTAGCTGGAGAGGAGGGATGGATCCAGGGAAGGTTTTTTCAAGATGGGGGTGATGACAGCTGTTTTTAGGGGGGTGGGAACTGAACTGGTGGTCGAGATGTTGATGACATCGGACAGGAGAGGGGCCAGAAGGTGGAGCTGGGAGATGAGGAGAGAGGTGGGGATGGGATCGAGGGAGCAGGTGGTGGGTTTGAGTTTGCAGACAATCGTGGTGAGGGAGGAGGGAGAGATAGGGTTGAAGGAGTATGGGGGGGATGGGTGGGGGTGGGTCATGAGAGAGAGGTGAGGTGGGGATGACTATGGATGGTAGCAGAGGTAGCTGAACATATCCTGTTGATTTTGGTTTCAAGGAAGTCCAGCATCTCCTCACAGTTGGAGTTTGAGGAGAGGATGGGCGAGGCGTGGAAAAGTGGATGGAGAAGACAGTTAGTGGTGGAAAAGAGAAGCTGGGGGAATAGACTGTAAAGTAAATTGACTGTATATTTGTGGGCGAAACGCAGCAGCCAATTGCACTCAACAGTGTTCCACAAACAGTCGTGGAATGAAGTGACCAATTTATTATTGTTTTTTTTTCTTGAGGGATTGTTATCAGACATGCGGAGTAAGGAAACTTGCCCAAGGTTTCGCCCTGCCGGGAATCAAACCCAGGTCTCTCGCTTGCGAGGCAAGTGCTCTAACCACTGAGCTACAGGACTCCATGTAAATATGAGATCGTGCTGACTTCAATGGATGAATTTATCCTAGAATTTAAAATTAAATAAAACAACAACTTTTATATAGCGCACTTCATGCAGGGTAGCGTCTCGGAGCTCTCAACGTTGGTGGAGCCTAATGCCGAGCCAGGAGAAGGGAGGAGGTAACAATAAGCGAGGTTGAATAAAATCGGTTATGCGTTTCAAGGTGACAATGTGGGACACAACTGCACATAACTTGGTTGCCCCGTTTGCCTACAAAATACAGTCACTACACTTTACAGTATATTCGGTGAAGCACCTTGAGATATCCTCCTGATGTGAAAGGCGTTATATCATATGTCAGGATTATTATTGTTATATTATTATTCTTACATACCAATCTTCTTTGAACGGACTCTATCCAACAGCCAGAAAGTCTCATGCAACAGGCATCCTGAATAAAGTATGTGATTTATCAGAACTCATTTTAACTTAGCCCATTTCCCCATCAGAAAATGTGTTATCAAATCATGTTTGTTGTTACTACATCAATGAAAATATGCTAACTGATGGTGGCTATTTTATGGCCTTGCAAAACACAATAAGCAAATAACAATTGCACTTTACAAACCTAAAAGATTCTCATAGAAGAGCATATTATTATTATAAAATTTGCATTTGATATAATGTGTTATCATGCTGTTGAAACATCTTGCCATGTCGTCAAAGCATTTCACAAGATTTAGTACAGCAACAACAAAATTACATTTGTATAGCGCCTTTCATGTCGGGAGGACAACCCAAGGCACTGAACATTCAGTGTTTCGGACCCAAGCTGGGCGCCAGGATCGGGGAGGGTGATCGAAGCATTGTCAAAGAGGAGGGTCTTGAGATGGGTTTTGAAGGAAGCAAAGGAGGGGGCGAAGCAGGCTGGAGCCCGCTGAGCAGAGAGAGCAAGCAGGTTGGTAGGGGGTTAGGAGATCACAGAGTTAGGGGGGAGCAAGGTCATGGATGGCTTTGAAGGTGAGGACCAGGATCTTGAACTGTATCCTCTGTATGATGGGAAGCCAGTGGAGTTGGGCGAGGATGGGGGTGATAGGGTCAAGGAGCCTGGTGCAGGAGAGGACACGGGTTGCCGAGTTCTGGATGATCTGCAGCCTATGGAGGGAGGAGCTGGGGAGTTCGACAAGCAAGGAGTTTGCCTAGTCAAGCCTGGATGTTATAATAATAATAATCTTTGCATTTGATATAGCGCTTTTCACGTCGGGAGGACGTCCCAAAGCGCTTCACAGAACACACTGTAAAGTGAATTGACTGTATATTTGTGGGCGAACGCGGCAGCCAATTGCGCACAGCAATGTCCCACAGTCGTAGATTGAAAATGACCAATTTATTATTGTTTTGTTTTGGAGGGATTATTATTAGGTGTGTGGAGTAAGGAAACTTGCCCAAGGTTTCGCCCTGCCTGGAATTGAACTTAGGTCTCTCGCTTCCAAAGCGAGTGCTCTAACCATCGAGCTACAGGACTCCTGAATGTGTGTATGAGGGTTTGGGCAGTCTGCACTGTGAGGCAGTAGCAGAGCTGAGTGATATTGGGGAGGAGGGAAAGCAGAGCCAGTCATGGCACGGATGTGGGGTAGAAAGGATAGTTGAGGGTCAAACAAGATGCCAAGGTTCTGGACTGGCTTAGTAGGTGGAGTGTGCATCCTTGGATAATAATGCTGTCAGGGCCTAAGGTGTGGAGGTACTGGTGGGAGCCAATCAGGAGAGCCTCAGTCTTGTTGACGTTCAACTGAAGAAAGTTAACTCTCATCCAGGACTTGATGTCTAACAGACATCGTCTATATTATAAAGTGTATTGATTGTTATTTGTTGGTGAATGCCGCAGCTAATTTATGTACAGCTTTGAGATATTCTCTTGATGTAAAACTATTTCAAACTCAAACAGCTCACGAAATGAATGGGAAATTTCATCTGGGAGATTGTTGGCCAGGACATAAGTCAAAATGAATTGTGCCAAGGGATCTTTACCATCCAGATAATGCATAGGGATAAAGTTTGTAGCCTGTCAAAATGTGTTCCTTGTGTTAATTAATGCTGAAAACTTTATCCCGTAGTATGATATAAGGATTACACAGCTGATGGAGCCAATCTGATTAGCATCAAATATCTCTCATGTTTTATATACTTCATGGAGTTGGACCCCAAGCGCCTAAAGGTGGCTGGCACATCACAAGGTATACTCCCACCACCCTAAAGGCAGATGCCTGCCACATAGATGATGAGGAAACTCTGAGGCTTGGGGTGACAGGTGAAGGCATTACCTGTTCTGAGTTCGCGAACACATGTTCGTACATGCAGCGCCTGAAATCCACCTTGATTGGCCTGCAGAAAGACAGGTAGCTGCTGCTTACACGCCGGAATTCCAATTGGTGGAACCATCGCTTAATGGGAAGGGTTTTGTGCCTGAGATGCGGACAAGAAGATGTTGACAATGTTCTCACACATTTTATGCTGAGCTGC